AGTGAAAATAATTTGGCGAGTTTTGGTACTGGAAAATTTAAGCCCATGCGTGGTTGTCCAAGTGGAAACACGGTCGACCTCATGCTGGAGAGAAACTGCAATGAGATGATAGTCAGCGCCTGCACAAGCAACAGCGAAGTCATCAACATAGAGTGATGACCAAATATTGGGTGGAAGAACAGAGGTCAAATCATTTATAGCAAGGAGAAAAAGTGTTGTGCTTAGAACACATCCCTGAGGGACACCTTCAGCTTGGACGAAGTCCGGGGAAAGAACATTATTGACTCAAACACGGAAATGTCTGTCGGTTAAAAAGTTCTTAAGGAAGGATGGTAGATTGCCTCGGAGGCCTAAGGAGTGGGCCTGGGCCAAAAATATTATACCTCCAAGTTGTGTCATATGCCTTCTCAAGGTCAAAAAATATGGCAATAACTGAGTGATTATTCGCAAAGGCATTACGAACATACATATCCAAGCGTAGTAAGGGGTCTATGGAAGAACGGCCCTTACGAAAGCCATATTGACTAGCGGAGAGACTGCTGTGGGTCTCTAAATAACACATTAAACGTCGATTTATGAAACGTTCCATCACTTTACAAACTGCACTAGTAAGAGCAATGGAATGATAGTGGGAGGCATCATGTCCTGTAGTACCCGGTTTGCGGAAAGGGAGAACAATGGCAGATTTCCACAGCTGGGGAAGAACTCCTTGCGCCCAAATAAGATTGAAGAGGTGTAAGAGGACTACAAGGGCTGACCGATGTAAATGTTGTAACATACGAATATGAATGTCGTCAGGCCCAGCTGCCGATGATCGGCAAGCTGAGAGTGTTGCCTCCAGTTCTTGAAGTGTAAAAGGCACATTATACTGTTCTTCTCTGAGAGAAGAAAAGTCCAAGGGTACTAACTCTCTGGCAGACTTTGAGGAAAGAAACGAGGGGCAAAGATGGAGCCCCTGGGAAATACGGACCAGATGTGTGCCAAGTTCAATGGCAACGTCGAGAGGGTTTGCTACATCAACACCAGCGACCCGTAGAACAGGAGCCGGGTCAGGAGAGTATTTACCACTCAATTTCCTCACTTTTTTCCAGACTGCACTCATAGAAGAAGCAGAGGTGATGGTGGAAACAGTCTCGCCAGCAAGTGCGTTTAGCTTCACGGATGACATGGCGAGTGATCGCACACTTCTGCTTAAAATCAAGAAGTCTCTCAGCGGTTCTATTGTACCGGTACCTGCCCCATGCAGCGCGTTTCAAACGTACTGCACGAACACAAGCAGGAGACCACCAAGGCACGCACTTCTGAGAATGCCTGCCTGAGGTTTGGGGTATAGAATGAGAAGCTGCAGTATAAACTGACGTCGAGAAGAGGTGTAGGAGCTCATCAATGGAGGATGAAGAAGGAACCTCACTAAAAGCAGTGAGTTGCGAGTAAAGATCCCAATTTGCCCGATCAAATTGCCAGCGAGGCCTACGGAAAGGTGGTGAATAGGAAGGAGAAGTAAGAATGATTGGAAAATGGTCGCTGTCATGTAAGTCTGGTAGAACAGACCAGGTGAAGTCTAGTGCAGTGGAGGAAGAGCAGACTGATAGATCGATGCAAGAGAGAGTATGAGTACGAGGATCAAAATGGGTGGGAGTATCCGTATTTAAAACATGGAGGGGGCGAGAGGCGAGAAAAGCCTCCAACTGGATGCCACGTGAGTCACAATGAGACCCCCCCCCAGAGGAAATGGTGGGCGTTAAAATCACCAAGTAACAGAAGTGGTGGTGGTAAGGATGAAACAAGAAAGGCAAAGTCTGGGATAGAAAATGCTTGAGAAGGAGAGAGATATAAAGAACATATTGTAAACCACTTATTCAAGTGGATACGGGCTGCAGTGTAATGCAGCGAGGTATGGACAAATAGTTGACAGTACAGAATATCATTGCGTAGAAGAAGGGCACTTTCATTAAAGGTCCCATCTGAGAAAGGATCCGAAGAATACAATAAATAATAGCCTGAGATAGGTTGGAAAACAGCCGAGTGTAATTTTGGTTCTTGTAAGCAAGCACCAACAGGGGAAAACCTGGAAAGCAACATCTGAAGCTCACCCCGATTACCCGAGGCCGTGGATATTCCACTGTAAATAGGCCATGATTGGCGATGAAGAAAATACCAGGAATCCGTAGGGAAAGGCACCTACGGACTAGAGGGGTTAGAAAAGTCAACGTGTGGTGGCATTGGAAGACGTTCAAGCAGCGAAGGAATAGAGCGTTGCGAAGAATGGGGTTGTGAAGATGGAGGAGAGGGAAGAGAAGGAACAGGAAGTGAATCAGTGTCCATTGAAGGTTTAGTCTCTGCAATATATTCTAAAATGGCTTCAAGTGTTTCTGAATTCAAAGATGTATGGGAGACCATATTGGAGATAGAAGGGGGAGGGTGAGTAAAGATTGGGACAGTGATGGACTGTACCAAAGTAGAGGGGGAGGAAAGAGTGTAAGGGACTGGAGATGAAGTGTGGGGGGGGACAGAAGAGGCAGAAACCTGGGAGGTGGCAGAAGAGGCAGAAACCTGGGAGGTGGCCGAAGAGGCAGAAACCTGGGAGGTGGCAGAAGAGGGAGAAACTTGGGAGGGGACGGGGGTGGAAGGCATAGTACGAGGAGGAGGGTGAATCTCCACACTTGTAATAGAGCCAGAGAGAGGGGAAGAACTAGGCACAGAGACTGGAAAGGTAAAGTGTGGAGGTGGAAGAAGGGAAGGAAGGGGCAAAGATTTGAGCAATGTGGAGTTTTTGGACTTCTGAGAAGTAGAGGGGCGATTGGTATTAGGTGTCGTACGAGGTCTTGTCGATACTGGGGCTTGTGAGGAAGGACGCGAAGATGTGAGAACAGACTGAGTTGTAGTCGGGACGTCAGAGCCAAGGACAGCGAAAGGATTAGATGCTGGAGTGGCTATGGGAGGGGTAACAACAGAGGAGGCTGCAGATGGGACCCCAAAAGTGGGTGGATGTTTTGAAACACGAGAATAAGAAACACGGGGTAGTCTCCCTTGGAGGCGGAGATGAGCAACTGCCATAGCATAAGGGAGACCTTCTGCCTCTTTGCGGCAACGGATTTCACGTTCATTTATGTAGACCTGGCAACGGCGGGAGTATGAAGGGTGAGCTTCATTACAATTAAGGCAAGATGGAGGTTGACTGCAAGATGTATTAGAATGGTCGTCGGCACCACAGACTGGGCATTCGGCCATAGATCTGCAATATTTCGCTGGGTGACCAAAACGCCAGCAATTTCTACACTGTTGCAGTGTAGGTATCACCTTTCGAACTTGTAACCGATGTCCCGCGACATATACAGAGGACGGGAGTTCTTGGCTGTCAAAAGTTAACCGAGCCACATTGCAAGGGTAACGTCTCCGCCCACGGGCAGGAAGGACATAAGTGTCTACTTTGAGGATTGGGAGATCCTGGAGTTCCAGTTGTTCAAGAATGTCATTGCCACATGACTGGAAATTCTGTTGGACTATGGTATGGAGCAGAATGACAGTACTACTACAAGAATTGAGAGAAAGATGTTTTTCAATAGTGATAGGAGTAGTATCGATATTCGAAAGGAGAGAAAGATCATGAGCTTGGGTAGCATTCTGGACAGTGACAATGCGCGTACCACTCTTGAGAGCATGAAATGAAATATCTCTACCAACATGACGCAGGAGCGCTTTGCCAATACTATGGTCAGAAAGGTAGGCAGAAGAAGAAGTCGGTCTTAAAGTAAAGAATTTAGTCCATTGTGTGGTCCGAAACTGAGCGTGGAGAGGGAGTGCATGATGTGTCGGTCTTTTCCGAGTAGAATGGGAAGGTAACGAAGGAGCATCATCAGGAGATTGATGTTGGCGTTTAGGAGTAGGACCGGAGTTGGTCCAGCGTGAAATGGGCAGGCGATTCGAAAATTGCCGTACCCTAGAGGGAGAAGCCGGAAGCATAGTTAAAGGAGAGCGGAGTTCAGACAAATCGAAGGAGTCAGTCGAAGCCCCGGTACCTGAAGCGGGTGAGGAAACAGCACCAGCAAGAGGTACAGGGGCATCAGGAGTGTCCGAAGAGTGGTCTAAAAACAAGGCAGGGTCAGAATGGGGTGCGGTATCAAGAAGGGGCCCGGGGGTAGTGGGTTCATGGATTGGGTTCTCCATGGTTAGGTTACTCCTTTGCTTTTTGTTTTAAGAAAAAAAAGAAAGAAAAGAAAATAAAAATAAAAGAAGAATAAAAAAAGGGGGGAGCGGGGAGGAATAGTTCCCAGGAGGAATGAAAGGGCCGGAAATCTCCCTCCGCGCCCAAGAGGACCTCAGCACCGCTAGTAGCGCAGATGCAGCATGGAACCCGTGCCATACCCTACCCTTCATGCCAGTAAACCAGCAATCCGAGATAGCAACCTCACATCTGCCGAGCTACCTCGGTGGACAAAAGAGAGGGCGGCCGGATATCTGCCACAAAGCATACCTCCTTCGGCCACCACCCCCGGAATCCGAAAGGTGGCTTCCAGAGATACACCCGCCGCCCGAAAGACACCCAAAGCTACTCCGGGATACCTGAGAGGGATCGGGACATCCCCAGGCGATCCAGATTCCACGGCAAACTACGCCACCGCCAAGAACCTCAACGGAATGGGATGGACCCCGGTATCCTTTCCCCTACCTAGGAACTAGCGCGCCTGTGGGAGAAATCCCAAAGGCCAAAAAGAGGAAGGGCAAAAGGGAGGGGTGGGGAGGAGGAGGAGGAAAGGAAAAAGGGGAGGATGGGATAGGGGAGGGGAGATTGGGGGGTAATTAGGTTCGGTCTGAGGAAGAAGACCGACAGGTCTAATTCCTCAGACCAAGAGCCTCTTCACCACGCCAAGGAGCCCCCCTTGAAGAGGTGTTGTTGCAGGAGCATCAATAGGTGGATTGTTTTTAGGAGACGAAGGATATTTATAATAAACTTATAAATATTTTGTACTTAGAAGGGGTGACTATTACCTTGCACCCACCTTTGGTTTTCTGAATACTTTCACAACTAGAGGACCTGCCACCTGACTTTGTCCTCGAGGAACATCTAGACTCCATTGTGCTGGATGGAGAATGTACATCGTCTTCATTTGTTAGCTCAGGTGCAGCTTTGTCAAAGGAGTCACTAACACTTGGTGTGGATGTGATGGTCACTTTTGGAGTACCATTATTATTATTATTACTGGAAGAGTTTGGGGAGAGGTTTGTTAGAAGTTCAATTACAGATTCCAAATCAGTAGAAGCAGTCCACTGTTGCTGCTGCTCTTCTCTCTGATTCTTTTCCTTCACATCAGGTACAGCTTGACTTTCTGTTTATATATAACCAAAGTTTATTAATGTAATATGTAGATAAAGGAAGTCTTTATAAGCCACCTCAAATAATGTAGTGATATCATCAAACTAAATACTGATTATACGAGTCAATCATCTTGACCAACACCTCATCTGAATGTGGGGATAGCCCACTATAATTCATTCACAGGGCAATTATTTCCTATACAATATTCATAAAAATATTTTGCTACTTTATGTTCTAAAAGAGTAAAATTACAAGAATTTTTTGCAAAACCTCATAATGATACATTACGAAAAATTATTGACACTATAGCATCAACTATTGTAATATATACGTATTTAACCACTTACTAACTAGCTGAACACCTCGGCCAGTCCCTAAGACCAGTGTTTGTCTAACAATGAGTTTCAGTGTAATGTTAATGTAGCCGATATATTATTTTGTTGTGCAAACAGAAAAAATTAACCTAGTCCTAACCAAACCAGACTCGCCTAACCCAACTTAAAGTAAACAAACGTAACTTAAACTTTGTCATGGATAGATATGAAACTAGCGCGTCTTTACATCTGTCAGTCGTGTGACAAGTCTCAGTACTATGAGCTCACTGGCACAGGTTCCAAGGTTCTCTGACCTGAGGGTTGGTAAGGATGGGAAGGAAGAGGGAGGGGAGGGCTGGAAAAATGAGCCACTGGCACAGACACGCTGCGCAACCAAAATAAATATTGAATCGTGTCACGCGCCTGGCCAAATGTAAAGACGTATCAGTACCGATGGCAGAGTAAGGTTAAACTACGTTTTGAGTTAGGTTACGTTTTTAACAGTTTGCACAATAAAATATCCATAAAACATAATTAATATTGAACAATATCGACTATAATTAATCACTGAAACCCGCCGAGTAACATTTGTTTACTTTTACCTTAGGTGCATATTAACACTATCAAATTAAACTTACCATTGAGGTTGTTGGTGAGGTGTTGGGAGTAAGGGGTGTTGTGTTGGGGATCAGTAGTGACACTGAGGGTGCTAGTACTACTGCTACTGCTGTCGCCGCCACTACTCAAGGAGAGTCTAATGCTACTGCTGTTGCCTCCATTCCAGTGGCAGGTCAACTGGCCTCCGTTGTAACTCAAGGATGGAGTAGTTGTGGGTGTGGTAGTTGGGGGTGTGGTGGCTGTGGGCGTGGTGCTTGTAGGCGTGGTAGGTGTGGGGTATGTGGGCGTGGTGGTTGTGGGATGTGTGGGGGTTGTGGGTGTGGGGTGTGTTGGGGTTGTGGGTGTAGAGGGTGTGGGCGTGGGGTGTGTGGGCGTGGTTGTGATGGGTGAGGTGGTGGTGGTGGGTGCAGTAGGCAGAGTCTGCCCTTGTGACGCCCTCCTGCTACCCGCAGTAGATGTGGTCGTAGTGCGCCCGTTGTTGGCGTGATGCGTGGGCGTGAGGGTGGGCGTAGGTGAGACCTGAGTGGCGCGGGCGTGGAGGCAGGGTGTGCAGATGGTGTGGAGACAAGGTAGGAGGCGTGGTTCCACCCACCCACGCCCACACGCACCACACTCACTCATCCTGATAAAATACTTTCATATTAGTGACCTCACTGTTACATATTTCTTGATAAATAAAACACTTGTGCAACATTTTAGTATCTTTATTCTGGAAACGTTTCGCCAGCCAGTGGCTTCTTCAGTCCAATGCAGAGAAATGTAGAAGATGAGAGGGAGCAACATTTGCACCAATAACTCACTACAGTTGTGACCGGGTGTGGAAGTGTGAATTGCTCATTACTCTAAAATTTGTTCATGATTGCAGCCATGTATAAACGTAAGTAACCATTCTTACAGTATTCATTACCTTTTGTTACTTGTGAGTTCATTACCTTTGTAACTTGTGAGTTCATTACCTTGTACCTAGTTCAGCCATCAAAACTTTGGAGCCCGGTCCCTGGACCCATTGTGTACCTCTGTAATCTGTAAATACCTTTGTAACTTGTCATGATTGTGACTAGACCTACCTGGAGTTCATTACCTTTGTAAATTGTGAATTCATTACCTCTGTAACTTGCTCAGCTATCAAAACTTTGAGGCCCAGTCCCTGGACCAATTATGTACCTCTGTAATCTTTTGACTACCGCCCACAGGATGGGTATGGGGTGCATAATAAACATATTAAACTAAAAACTAACTAGTTTGTGAGAGAATCAGTCCCTCAGCCTGGACACACCGGCTGAGAAACTGTCTACCACAAACTCTTCCTCATCTTCCGTCTTTCACTACATTAGACTGAAGAAGTCACTGGCTGGCGAAAAGTTTCCAGAATAAAGATACCTAAATGTTACACAAGTGTCTCATTTATTAACTCAGTTTTCTAGACAATTTATTCACACTTTCTTGTATACATCTAGTCTTGTTGCATTATCTAACAATATTAATATTAGTTCATCAAAACATTCAGATGAAATTGTCAAGCACGTTCATGACCTTTAATCCCAAAACATCTAGTATCAGTGAAATATTTTACTCTATTTGGGTCAAGTATAGAACAAATGAGTTATCTAACAGACACACGAGATGCAAAACAACCACAGGAGGAGTTACCCAAGAACGAATCTATCTGGACTTCCTGTTCATTTCTGCAACATTGCAAGCTCCTGAAAATGTGTTGATTGCAACATGAAAGACTGAGCTATCATTCAACTTCTCCTGTTGTTATTTTGCATCTTTTATCGCTTGTTCGCGTTTAATGCATGCACGAGAGATGTAACACTACACGAGTGGTGTATCTGGGAGGTAAGCTGGCAGATAATACCATAAGACCATACGCGGGTCATGGATCTGTGAAGCCAAACTGGGACAACATGCAACACGTCGTAAAAACAACGAATTTACGGATGCGGAATTCGTGCCCAATGATTACAGCATTTATCCTGAAGAACCTCAAGATTTTATGCAGCACAAAATATTAATTCAGTTTTATTTGGTAAATTTCTTCACTAGTTCCATTATTGTGTAAAACAATTACTTAAACTATTTTTTCAATATTATTGCTACAAAACTTTTTATAGATATTTTTTCATGACAATGTATTTATTAGTTATCTTGTTTGGTAAGTTATTTATTAAGAGTTAACTTGTTTAGTGAGTTATTTTGCCACTAGAGACGGCAGGGAAACATTTTATCAATGTTTCGGTGAAATCTAACACCATCATCACCACACAGTTATGTGGCAAAAGTACTGTGTACTTTGTTGCACAGTGCGCAGGCTCGAATCTCTTTCTCTCATATATATATATATATATATATATATATATATATATATATATATATATATATATATATATATATAATATATATATATATATATATATATATATATATATTGTTGTTTGTAAGGCGCGGGGACAGACTTACATACTCGAGTGACATGACTGATGACGCCCGGGGTAATACAACCAAGTGAAGTGTTGGTAACTGCTCAGGCTGCGGTTGCCAACACAAACTACATAAATACCACAACGAACAATAACAATAACACTACACAACTTCCAAACAATGTTTAGCCAGGGGCATGCAGGGAGTGGTGGAGGAAGGCAGGATCACAGCAATATTTGCTACTGATAAAACATCCATGATGCCTGGCGACTGCCAGACACCACGATGCCTGGCGACTGCCAGACACCATGATGACTGGCGACTGCCCGACACCATGATGCCTGGCGACTGCCAGACACCATGATGCCTGGCGACTGCCAGACACCATGATGCCTGGCGACTGCCAGACACCATGATGCCTGGCGACTGCCAGACACCATGATGCCTGGCGACTGCCAACACCATGATGCCTGGCGACTGCCAGACACCATGATGCCTGGCGACTGCCAGACACCATGATGCCTGGCGACTGCCAGACACCATGATGCCTGGCGACTGCCAGACACCATGATGCCTGGCGACTGCCAGACACCATGATGCCTGGCGACTGCCAGACACCATGATGCCTGGCGACTGCCAGACACCATGATGCCTGGCGACTGCCAGACACCATGATGCCTGGCGACTGCCAGACACCATGATGCCTGGCGACTGCCAGACACCATGATGCCTGGCGACTGCCAGACACCATGATGACTGGCGACTGCCAGACACCACGATGACTGGCGACTGCCAGACACCACGATGACTGGCGACTGCCAGACACCATGATGACTGGCGACTGCCAGACACCATGATGACTGGCGACTGCCAGACACCATGATGACTGGCGACTGCCAGACACCATGATGACTGGCGACTGCCAGACACCATGATGACTGGCGACTGCCAGACACCATGATGACTGGCGACTGCCAGACACCATGATGACTGGCGACTGCCAGACACCATGATGACTGGCGACTGCCAGACACCACGATGACTGGCGACTGCCAGACACCATGATGCCTGGCGACTGCCAGACACCATGATGCCTGGCGACTGCCAGACACCATGATGACTGGCGACTGCCAGACACCATGATGACTGGCGACTGCCAGACACCATGATGACTGGTGACTGCCAGACACCATGATGACTGGCGACTGCCAGACACCATGATGACTGGTGACTGCCAGACACCATGATGACTGGCGACTGCCAGACACCACGATGACTGGCGACTGCCAGACACCATGATGACTGGCGACTGCCAGACACCATGATGACTGGCGACTGCCAGACACCATGATGCCTGGCGACTGCCAGACACCATGATGACTGGCGACTGCCAGACACCATGATGACTGGCGACTGCCAGACACCATGATGACTGGTGACTGCCAGACACCATGATGACTGGCGACTGCCAGACACCATGATGACTGGCGACTGCCAGACACCATGATGACTGGCGACTGCCAGACACCATGATGACTGGCGACTGCCAGACACCATGATGACTGGCGACTGCCAGACACCATGATGACTGGCGACTGCCAGACACCTAATACACACATCTGCAGCAGTGCTAGACACATCTGCAGCAGTTCCAGTCATCTGCAGAAGTACTAGACACACCAGCAGTGATAGACACCTGCTCAACATCTACAGCAGTGGTAGATACCTGCAGCAGTGCTAGACACATCTGCTGCAGTGCTAGACACTTACTATACACCTGCAGCAGTGCTAGACACTACACACCTGCAGTACTAGACACTCCTGCTGCATGCTAGACACTTCTGCTGCATGCTAGACACTTCTGCTGCATGCTAGACACTCCTGCTGGATGCTAGACACTCCTGCTGGATGCTAGACACTCCTGCTGGATGCTAGACACTCCTGCTGCATGCTAGACACTCCTGCTGCATGCTAGACACTCCTGCTGCATGCTAGACACACCTGCTGCAGTGCTAGACACACCTGCTGCAGTGCTAGACACTTGCTGCAGTGCTAGACACACTGCAGTGCTAGACACACCGCAGTGCTAGACACCGCAGTGCTAGACACCGCAGTGCTAGACACCGCAGTGCTAGACACCGCAGTGCTAGACACCGCAGTGCTAGACACACCGCAGTGTTAGACATACCTACTGCAGTACTAGGCACTTAATATACACCTGCAGCAGTACTAGACACTTACTATACACCTGCAGCAGTGCTAGACACTATACACCTGCAACAGTGCTAGATACTTACTATACACCTGCAGCAGTGCTAGACACTGCAGCAGTGCTAGGCACACCTGCAGCAGTGCTAGACACACCTGCAGCAGTGCTAGACACACCTGCAGCAGTGCTAGACACACCTGCTGCATGCTAGACACACCTGCTGCATGCTAGACACACCTGCTACAGTGCTAGACACCTGTTGCAGTGCTAGACACCTGCAGCAGTGCTAGACACACCTGCTGCAGTGCTAGTCAAGAATGCCTATGATAAACTCAAGACAATCTTGTGAGCAAAGATTTTTAATTATATTAAAAGAAACTCTTAACCAGCATGGATTAAAAAAAAAAAAGTCTGGAACTGCGACAGTAGGCACTACTGAATCCTTACTGAGTCTTCCTCGCCCTTCAAGGACGTCTTAATGCTGGCGAAGAGCTCTCTTGATCTAAGAAATCTGAGCTACTCTTTCGTTCCTTCAATCACAACCTGTCTATATGGCCCCTACGGATTTAAAGGTTCCCCATGACTATAATAATGTTGTACCTAACTTCATTCTCCTCTTTAATCATCACCTTTATCTCCTCCCTCCTCTCTCGGTTTCTGTCTCATGTTTATGTATTGTTGACATGGGCGTGCGTGTTGCTCTCACTGGCCGCCCCTCTCTACAAGACAACCACAACATGCTGGCTGTGTCACACCTCACCTCCATCACAACAATCACATCAGCCATTCCTGCAGCTAATTTTACCGATGGGGTGCTAGGGAGGGTTAGGGTTAGGGGATGGAGGGTGCGGGCGAGAGGTAGGGGGTATCGGTGAGGGAGAGGGGGGCTTTGGCCTTGGCCGCATGCCCCTGTAAAAGCTTATTATAAACTTTAAGAACGATAACCCAACTAATGGGGTCACATTTGCGGTGATTGGAGGAGGGGGAAAGGCGCACAGTCAGTTGCTTCCCTCTCCCCTCCACTCACAGTAGAGTGAAAAATAATCACAGGAAGCCAACGAATTATACATGAAGACTACACTATGTTTCGGCATATCATGGGCCAGTGTCAGTTCGCGACTTTACAGAGGTCTAGGACTGACCGAAACATCGCCCAATTCTAGTTTCTAATTTACTGAAAAACATGGAAGTCTTTACTTATGAGACCTGCCTAGAGAAAATTCTCATTTATTCCCTAGATGTTTCAGGATGAGATACTTCTTAGATGAAACTAAAACCCTTGATAAAGACAAGTAAAGGAAAGAACATGCAACAACCAGAGGCAAGACAATGAGGAAAACAGATGCTGCTGCTGCCTTACCTCTTACATCGCCTTGCATTAGCTTCTATTACCTCCATCTTCTGTTCGTCTTCCTTTCTTTTCTTCCTCCTCCTCTTGGTGGCATCAGGGACGGGTTCTTTGGGTCTAAGGGCGATACTGCCACCAGATTCGAGCTGAGACTCCAGGTTCTTGATGATGGCTGATAAGAAGTGGTCCAGCTCCTGTATGGAAGCTGTTGTTGGTAGTCTGGTGGGTAACTCTTGTGAGCTCAGAGTCTTACACACCCCAAGTTCTTGGGAGCTGGCTGCTTTACATACTCCAATTTCCTGAGAACTGCTAGCTTTAGCTAGCTCTTGGTGGTTGAGAGCTTTGGAAGATGAAAGCTCTTGAGAGCTTGTGGTCTTCGAGAGCTCTTGAGAGCTTGTGGTCTTCGAGAGATCTTGAGAACTTGGAATCCTGTGTCTCTGAACGCTGGGAGTCCTGGTCAAGAGGACCTCCTTGGAACTAGGCGTTCTCGACAGCGGAGGACCTACTTTATATATATCTATCATCTCTGCCTTTGAGCTCCTGTCCGCAGTTTTCAGCGTGGGCTTCATTGTATCTTCAGCTATAGACGAGGTATTTTGTTTGGCCGGCGATCCTTGCGGAGACTGGCCTACACTCCTCTTCCTCCATTTCCTAGTTGTAGTTTCACATCTTTCATCAATAAAGGCTCCATCAGTGACGGTTTTGCCTTGCCTTTGGGTAACGTCTTGTGGGTCCGCATCGCCGTGAATCTTGAGGGCTGCCTCTGCGGTCGAGTCCACGCGGTTAACGGCGCCTTTGAGCGTTTCGGAATTGTGTATTGCGAAGGTAGAAAATTCTTCGTTCTTGAGAGTGTCTTCTTCCACAACCTGCTGCGGGTGTCCGCGGGTGAGGCTAGACTCCATCTTGCACCCACTGACACTACGGAGGTGAGGGTAGGGGCTAGTGACCCTTGGCTCTCCATCCCGCCCACTGCTCGCACTCCGCAAAATTATACTACCGTATCTGGACCTGAATTCCTTCTCAGAGTCTGTGGAGTCGCTGCAGGACTCGTTAGATCCCATTCTGGTATCTTTATGATCCAAAGGATTAAGGTTATACACCCTGATCACTCGTTTTCTTTTAAGTCCACTTTTCTGTGAATTGGAGAGAAGGGAGGGAGGCGGCATTAGCTCCGGTGTGGAAGATTCAGCACTCCAACTCTGCCTCTTCTCTCGTCCTCGTCGCGCCAAGAATCGCCACGATAACACGTCTTCGCTCGCTGATCGTCTCTCCTTCATTGGCGGGGTTGACAACGAATCGCTGTCGCTGACGTCGTCGTCGTCATCATGTGTCGCTGACGGCGACTGCGAAGACCCATTATCCAGTAAATCGTCTTCGCTTTTAGACAATCTGTTGCCGAACAACCTCTGAAAGAAGTTGGGCTTCTTTGTTTCACCTTCCTCGAAGGACTTGGAGCTTCTGCTGGAGGAAAAGATTGACAAACGCTTGGAAGGCGTAGGTGTGGTTCGTGATGTGGTGGGCGGGGCTTGGGTCTCCCTGCTGAGGGTCTGAAGCCCATCGTCCATCCTCTCATATTTAGCCTGCAGCTGGTCCAGTCTCTTGTGGAGACTGTCGCTCCTGCACACCAGCTCCAGTAAATCCAGCTCGTGTTCCAAGGATTCTGCGGCACCGGTGTCGTGCACCGTCACCCGCTTTGTCTGTGTGAGGGACGGGTGCACCAGGGGATAATAAGAGGGTCCTTGCTCGCTCCCTGACCACCTCCGCTCCCCGCTTCCCCCAGACCCAGAATTTGAGCCACATTTCTTGTCAGCTCGGAACACTTTAGAAAACATTTTTTTCTTATTTGCCTTTTTATAGTTATATCAGTGTTTAATTTGTTTAGCCAAAGACTATTGTAGCCGGCCGTTTATTAAGCCACATGTTTAATTTTCACTAATTACTATTTATATACAAATATTTTCTTTGGTCTTTATCATAAACATTGATACATTAACTTACAAATCATAAAGTTTGAATGTCCACTGTATATTTTGTAACACATTTGAGGCCTCCACCAAACAAAAATACCATGTCTGCAAACCCAGAATTCATAAATATATGTACTCAGCATCTTAGCAACTTGATCACATCACCTCAAAAGTCTAAGATAATACTAAGTTCAAATTACAACTTGGCAAGAAATCACCACAAAGCACAATATAAGGTTAATGTAACCAATGCCACACTGTTAGCAGAGGTGGGATACCAAATAACATTTTAAAATCATGAACAATATAAGTGCCCCGTGACTTCCCACTCCTTCATTAAAAATAAAAATTCAAGAGTACAATTAATCACTTATTAAGTGCATAAACAGAATTACCTTGCAAGGTAATATTTTGTGAAGGGATTCAAGGAAACCGGTTAGCCAAACATAAGTCCTGGAGGTGGGAAGTACAGTGCCTGCACTCAAAAGGAAGGGTTTGGGATATTTGCCGTTAGGAGGGAAATCTGAACTGTCGTATCTGCGCACCTCTGGCAAGACTGTGATAATGTGAATGATGGAAAGTTTATTTTTCGGGTCACCCTACCTCGGTGGGAGACGGTCAGCGTGTTAAAAAAAAAATTAAATAAAATCTAAATGGTTCTATATCATGTTTCATATTTTGTCAATCTTTTTTACTCCAAGCAAAAGTGATAAGGTAAGTGCAGAGAAGTTGGGTCCTTGTACCATAAATACGGTACCTTATCATGAATGACAACACTAGAAAAGCACTCTTTTATCCCAGTGCTAAAACTTTCTTATATAACAACACACAGACTGACAGTAGTAACGTGCTGACATCTGGCATGTAGCTGTCATTGTGGCATTTGAATGAGGCTGAAGACTGCGGGTGCTGGTGCTAGTGAGTTGTAGCAGTGTAATGCACGGAAAATTTATCCATCGTTAGGCTTGAGCTAATAAACTTCGTGTGAAAATTAGGTTGCTCATTATCTTTTCCCCAGTTAATCACATTTCCTTGGATTAAAAATTATGCAGGAAATATGAAACATGATAGAGAGCCATAAGTTTAATATTACATTACATCTTACGTAGATAAATAAAGTAAGTGATTGAATTTATTCAATTTTTTATTCCTAATCGGCGAGGGAAATATAACGAGGTACATACTTCCGTTGTTTATGATTTTATGTCGTCTAAAATTCCAACTCTGCCACCAGGTAGGTAGGTAAACCAGTGTGGCATCGGCGAGTCTTCTCGGTAGATAATGTGCTGTATGAAGAATTGATAAGTGTATTGAGGGTAGAATTTATAGGTCAGACAGGGACAGGCTATTTGGGATATGGGAAACGGATACTCGAGGGCACTGCTGGAAGTTGAAAACAGATGATTCACAGGGATGTCTGGAAGTATTTCTCAAGTCTCAAGGTGATGAGCAATTGGAATGACGTCGACGAAATAGTGGAGGTTGGCGCCATACATACTTTAAGAACAGGTACGACATGGCCCACGAAGCTAGGAGTAAGTCTAGCAAAAGGTAAGATGAAACGCGGGCCAGGAGCTAGAATTCGACCCCTTCATTCACATACAGGTGAGAATACACATACATACACACACACACAAAACCATCCCTATTAACATCCTTTATTCCCGTCCCCCCCTCTCACCTGCTTTACACACCTGTCTCTCCAGGGAGACAGGTGTGCTACCTCCACCACTCAGTAAAGCAGGTGTGAATATTATACCTTCACTACTAAATAATTATAACTTATAAACCCTGAAAGTCCAGGATTTTCCTGTTTACAGTTTTACTACTATTATAAACAATTATGAATAGTGACTAATATTGAACTACAACTTTGTGAAAATTTTGGTGTGAATGTAATTAGTGACGAATGTTTATTGATGTTAGAGTGTAATGCTTGCGCTGGCCCAGTGCCTCTGCCAACCACAACACCACCACCAACAACCACAGCAGTAACACCAACAACCACAGCAGTAACACCTACAGCTCCACTAAATCACAGCAATACCACCGCCAACCACAGCAACACCACCACCAACCACAGCAACACCACCACCAACCACAACACCACCACCACCAACACAGCAACACCACCACCAACCACAGCAATACCACCACCAACCAGAACACCACCACCACCAATCACAGCATATAACCACCACAAACCAAGCAATACCACCACCAACCACAACAACACCACCACCAACCAAACACCACCATCACACAACACAGCAACACCACCACCAACCACAGCATACCACCACCAACCAAACACCACAATCACAGCAATACCACACAACCACAGCAACACCACCTACCAATCACAGCAATACCACCACCAACCACAGCAACACCACCACCAACCACAACAACACCACCACCACCAACCACAAACACCACCACCACCAACCACAGCAACACCACCACCAACCACAGCAATACACACCACCACAGCAACACCACCACCAATCACAGCAACACCACCACCAATCACAGCAATACTAATAAAAGTGTTTTCCCTCTCAAAAAATTAAAAAAATTATATAAAAAATAATTTAAATTGTTCCATTTTCTCAAATATATTTTATCTTCAAAATTTAATGCAAGTTTTTCTTTATCGAAATTTGTTTCCAAAATTTTTATCTTTTTCAAAATATTTAAAGTTTAATAACTTTTTAGTTTACTTATTGATACTATTATTTTTTATTAAGTTATACATTATTATTATTATTATTATTATTATTATTATTGAATGATTAGTATATTAAAAACAAGTGTTAAACCCTCACGGATCATACCGTACAACTGATAATTTTAAGGTTAATTTTGTCATTAATATTTCCCGGGTCGCTCTAAATTCACAAGAAATAATTATTTTTGTCGGGCTATGGAACAGATTGCTGGCATTATTACAAATGTAAATTAAATAGTTATTAGCCGGATTTTCAAATATAATTTTCTTGGCTGCTGAATGCTGCTACTCTGGCCAATCCTCCACAGGATGGATATGGCCTGCACAATATACTAGCCAATTCGGCGGCAAACTCTAAAAATCTAATAATTTCTGCTCAAATCCTGATTAATCATAGCTTAACTATATTACTTCCTCCTGGCTGACAGCTCTACCTCTGACCAGACTCCCTCCTGGCTGACAGCTCTACCTCTGACACAGACTCCATCTTTGACTTTCTGTCAGCATAGTTTTACTGCACCCACCTTTATTATACTTTCCTTTTATCACTCATCACCGCCGCTACTGAGTCTTGTCTCGGACACATTCTTCGCCTCCAATAGTCTGATCTAGCACATCCTGCCCTGCATGACCCTTGTGGGTTTAGCACTTAGCTGATTGTAATAATAATAATTAACTATATTACCTCATTTTAAGGTTATTACTTGGTTTAGAAAAACACGTAATCAGACACTAGGGCATATTTATTAGGAAAAGTTTTCTAGTGTTTATCTACGTGTTTTTCTAAACCAACTTGTCGGTATTTATTACCAAGGTTTATACCAAGATTATTACTTAGTCCTTTAAATCTGTTTAAATAGTTACAATTTTTCCTGTTTTTTTAATTACTTTTTATTCAAAACTTTTGGATCTTTCCAACCTACCTTTCCGCCTTTCATACCAACTCGCACAAAACTAATCCACAATTTTAGAGAGGATATTTTTGACAACATTACAGTCAGTGATAGACCATGAATATTTAGCTACATAATGACCACCACGGACCGAAATCTCATGTCAACTTTCCTTTCTATACAGTAGGTTAGTTGAATTATTTATGTTGCGTAATTTTTATTGTAATATGATTAGGTTATGTTAGTTTTGGTGCAAAATAAAAACAAATCATAAATAATTTGCCTTAAAGTTCACAGGTTTGCTTGTAGGGAGAAAATCCTCAAATAATCAGTGTTATCTCAATATTTGGTTGATTTATTATTAAAACAAATACTTTATCTTTCAACAATAAGCAGACGGAAGACTCGTGTCTAGCTTTCCGTCTGCACATCAGTTCTGTAAACCATTAATATATACTTAAAACAATAAGCCCTTCCCCAATTTTCAAACCTGTTAATCTACCCTGACATATATATGTCGTGCCGAATAGGTAAAATTGGTTAATTAGCAAGCACACATTTAAAATTAAGTCCTTTCTAAAATTTTCTCTAATACGTTTAAAGATATATTTTTTATGTTATTGTAAAAAATAATAATTTTGTATCAAAAGAACCTTAGAAAACTTACCTAACTTTATTATAACAAGCGCTATTTAATTTAGCCTAATTCAACTAAATATATATTAGTTCAGTTCAGTTCACAATAATTTAATAAAAAACAAACATATTGAAATAGATTTTTTCGTTAGGTTCAGAATGATTTTTTGCGAAATTATTGTATACACAAATTTTCGCTTGCCTTATTCGGCAAGAAGAGCATTGCTATTTAAGCCAAATTCGCAAATGATTCGGCACACACACACACACACACACATGTGTGTATATATATATATATATATATATATATATATATATATATATATATATATATATATATATATATATATATATATATATATATATATATATATATATATATCTTGCTACTCCTACTTACACTTTGGTCACACTTCACAGGCACGCACATGCATATATATATACATACATCTAGTTTTTTCTCCTTTTTCTAAATAGCTCTTGTTCTTCTTTATTTCTTCTATTGTCCATGGGGAAGTGGAAAAGAATCTTTCCTCCGTAAGCCATGCGTGTCGTATGAGGCGACTAAAATGCCGGGAGCAATGGGCTAGTAACCCCTTCTCCTGTAGACACTTACTAAAAAAGAGAAGAAAAACTTTATAAAACTGGGATGCTTAAATGTGCGTGGATGTAGTGCGGATGACAAGAAACAGATGATTGCTGATGTTATGAATGAAAAGAAGTTGGATGTCCTGGCTCTAAGCGAAACAAAGCTGAAGGGGGTAGGAGAGTTTCAGTGGGGGGAAATAAATGGGATTAAATCTGGAGTATCTGAGAGAGTTAGAGCAAAGGAAGGGGTAGCAGTA